GTGCGGGATCGGGCAGTGTTTCGTTCTGCTGTGCATGGGGTCGCTATGAGTCGGAAACGACTCGACGGCACTTAACAACAACAACAACAACTTTCACAGTTAAATATGGTAAGTTATTCAGCAATGGGGAAAAAGTCTTCATGAAATAAAACAAACACACACAAGTCTTCATTCTACACTATCATGCTCTGGCAGGGAACATTCAACTCTGCAGGCCCTAAATGCACCCGAGGGCCTCTGGTGGTGCAGTGGTGAAAACACTGGCTGCTAACCAAAAGGTTGGTGGTTTGAACCCAGATAAGGCAGGCTTGGAAACCCTTTGGAGCAGTTCTACTCTGTCCTATAGGGTTGCTATGAGTAGGATTCCACTTTACCGCAATGCGTACGGCTTTGGTTTAAGGCCCTGCCAGAAGCACAGAGGCTTCCAAGCCTCTTCCGCAGCCCGCCCCTGAGCCCACGCTGGGAAGCCGGAATCTCCGGCGGAGGCACACAGGGGCGGGCCGGAACTCAGGGCGGCGTGTGCCGCGAAGGACTACAACTCCCGTCGTGCAGAGCGGCTAATGCGCGTTTGGTTGCCTCGTTCTTCGTGATTCTTAAAGTGCGCATCTAGGAACTGCTTATTACTAAATATAGCGACTGTAAACTTCTCCGGAATAGTGGGGCGCAGAAAAGCTCACAGAATATTAGTCGCTCTTTTTATCTTTGGCTTTGGCGTAGTGGAATCTACTGCCTGGCAGTGTGGGTTTCCGGGGGGACTTTAAATGTGTCCGGACACCAAGGCGCGGCGGTTTAATTCTCCGGCGGCTTCTGGAGTTGGACGAGATGGACCTGACTGGACTCATCAGGAAACTTGGTAACGTTCTGAGACCCCGCGCCACCCCTGGCCAAGGCGCCCTCCAGTCCCGGCCACTTGCCGTGTCAAGTTTTCCCGACCGGGCCGCCCCGCGACGGCTCCCGCTCTTGGTCCGCTTCCCCAGGGCAGCCCCGAACGCCGGGCTGGCGCTGCGTGTAAATTTCGCGGTGGCGTCCCGCGTGCACCGGGCCTAACTCTCGGAGAACCGGCTTCTTCGTTTCCTCCTGCTCTAGCCCTTCGCGCAGATCGCGAAATGGTGGATAAATTCTGGGAGGGTTGTGTTTGGGGTTGGAACGTGGACCCGCTGTGCTGCCTTTTGCCAGGCCACCCGCTGGCGGAGATCCGGGAGCGCGCGCTGAGGAATATTCTCTGCAAGGTCGAGCACAACCTACTCTGCCCCGCGGACCTCGTCCAGGAGAGGCTGCTTTTCCTCCGCTTGCTGGAATGGTTCAACTTCCCGTCTGCTCCAATGAAAGAAGAGGTTCTAACCCTGTTGAGCAGTCTAGTGAAGGTGGGATCCTTTTGAAATGCAATTCTAAAATGAGTGTTTTTTAAAGCAGCCCGACGCATAGCGACCCCTCCTGGGGTTTCGGAGGCGGTATCACTACGGAAGTAGATTGCCCAACCTTCCTTCCGAGGAGTGGCTGGTGGGTTTGAACTGCCAACCCTCTGGTTAGTAGTCAAATGCCTTGGGCATTACGCCACCAGAGCTGTTTTTTGAACGTTAGATAATTGGGGCAGTTTGAGATTCTGAAAACAACCAGAGGTGTTGAATTTTAATAGAGCTGGACAGATAGTGCATATTTTCCTTGTGCGTGACTTTGACTCCACTGGTCTGAGGTATTGACGTTATTCTTTCTGTATCTGGTATGTCCTGATTTGGGGGCTGGTCTTTGAAGGTCAGTGTTTGTCATTCTGCTTTTCCCTTTCTGCTAATATGTACATGTGTTTGTATGAAAGGGAACACGTTGATGACCATTGTTACAGCCGAGGATTAGTAAATAACACAAGTGTGTCAGGTTGCTTTTTCCATCGTCTGTTTTGGGCTTGTATTCCTTTCCCTGTCTCGAGTAGTTAGGATCACATGCCAGAGTGCAAGTTTAAACTTTGAAAACCATTGTTGTTGTTGTTGTTGTTTGCCGTCGAGTCGGCCCCGACTCATAGCGACCCCTCCTTGGGTTTCCGAGGCAGTATCACTACGGAAGTAGGATTGCCCAACCTTCCTTCCGAGGAGTGGCTGGTGGGTTTGAACCGCCTGCCTTCTGATTAGCAGTCAAGTGCCTTAGCCACTATGCTACCAGAGCTCCCAAATTACTATAAAATCTTCAAGGATTCTTACCATTGTGTTGGCATCCTTTTGACTGATGGCATGCATTTTTGTGCTTAGGAGGTTGGGTGGGCAAGTTAAGAATAAAGAGGAAACCTCCTGTGGTGTGGTAAATTACCTGGTATGGCTTTTCTAGCCATAAGTCTTTGTAAACTCTGTGGTGGAATTTGCTGTGAGCAACTGAGTACCTCCTGATTGTTAAAGTTATCCACCTGGGTTATTTCTTTGGAGAGAGGCATGAAGCAGTCTTCTGGGAAGTTTGCGCTCTATCTCTCAGGTGTGTAGAATTCTGGTGTTGGAATTAGTTTGGCCACTCTGCCAGGCTCAAAAGGAGCCCTCCTAGAGGCAGAAGAGGTCTCTCTGATGGCTGGCTGAGAAAGATGTGCTACTGAGAGACACATGCTCCTGAGAGACACGCACTTGCTGAGAGAGAGACGTGAGAGACACATGCTGTTGATAGACTACTGGCTGCTAAGTGAGACAGCCGGCTGCAAGGGACTGAGTGCATTTCTAAACTTGAATTGTAGCCTGGTGCTTCCCTAATAAACCTCGTCTCATCTGTGAGTTCTTTGTGGCCACTGCAGTGAATTATTGAACCCAGGAAAAAGGTGGTGGGTGCTGCGAGAGGAATGGTTGGTGAAAGGGCTGGAGGGAGGCAGCATGTCTGGCCTCGCAGGAACAGGCCTTGGGCTACTGATGGTGATTCCGTCGTCGTCTTTTGGGGTTAGAGGGGGTCAGAAGGTGCAGCCTCCCTGCCCCTTTGGCACCCCTGTTGACTTTATAGTTTTTATCCGTGTCAGTTTCTGGTTAGCAGTCATATGCCTTCAATATAGACTGTTAATGGGTTGAACTATATCCCCCCCAAACTATGTGTTACGAATCTTACCCTCTATGCTTGTGGTTGTAATGATCCCATTTGAGAGTAGGTTGTCTTGGTTGTGTTAATGGGATAGGATTAGTACAGGATGTGCCTTGAGTCCATCTCTTGAGATATAAAGGAGATTATACAAGCGAGGGAGAGAAGCAGAGACGGGGAAAGAGAGATGCCCGGCCACGTGACGGTGGCTCAGGGCAGGGAGCTCAGAAGAGAGGAGGGGCTTCCTTCAGAGCCAGCAGGCAAGGAAAGCCTTCTCTTAGAGCCGGCAACTAAATTCAGACTTCTCGCCCCTCAGCCGTGAGGAAATGAATTTGTTTGTTGTATCCACTGACTTGTATGTCTGTTCGAGCAGCACTAGATAACAAGACAACTGTGTAGTAAGGAAAGGAACTTTGGTGGCGTAGTGCCTAAGGCATTTGACTGCTAACCAGAAGGCTGGCAGTTCAAATCCACCAGCCACTCCTCGGAAGGAAGATTGGGCAATCT